TGCCTGTCACATCAGGGTTTTGTATCTGCCGCCAGTCGTACTGGAGCCAGGTGTTCTGGCTGTCACCATCAGGGCTTTGTATCTGCCGCCAGTCGTGCTGGAGTCAGGTGTTCTGGCTGTCACCATCAGGGTTTTGTATCTGCCGCCAGTCGTGCTGGAGCCAGGTGTTCTGGCTGTCACCATCAGGGTTTTGTATCTGCCGCCAGTCGTGCCCAGAGCCACTTCACCACCCCGACGTTCCGCTTCTTTGTTGTGGCTGTGCGGCCGTCTGCAGACTGGAAGAAGAGTTCAGTAATGCCGGTTGAACTCCTGGCACACCGTCCCGTCACCTTTGGGACGTGCAGCAGGCACCCCAGGGAACTCATGGCACGCCGTCTTGTCACCGTTGGGGCGTGCGGCGGGCACTCCAGGGAACTCATGGCACGCCGTCTTGTCACCGTTGAGGCGTGCAGCGTGCGCTCCAGGAAGCCCATGGCACACCGTCCTGTCACCTTTGGGACGTGCATCGGGCACTCCAGGACATTAGCTGTGAGATCCGATCTGGCAGCGTGGGGTCTTGGCCCACTCAATGAAAGACACCACTCTTGTGAAAGTCGGGTTCGCCACTGAACCAGATGATGTTCAGAAACCTGGGATTGCTTTCAGCTTTCGTCTTCAATGAGATGTTGTCCGCTGCTGCATATGGACTCCCGGCAGTTTTGTGTTGATAACCACTCTCTGAGAATAGTTTGAGACCATTTTGTTTTTCAGAATCTGCGCTACGGTTGTGTGATCGGTGCTGATATCCGGCACGGCCACACCACCCTAAGTGGTGGACTGTGATTAGGCCTTAATGATGACATACTTGACTTTTACGATGTTCATTTGCTGTTTTTTCATTATCTTCCAACTTTATCAGTTATTTAGGTTCAGCACAGAACCGGTCTCTCAAACTTCTCCTGCAGGCACAAAGTTATTTTTGCGTGAGTGTCATACCGGCTTAAGGAGTGAACTAAGAGCTGCCTTTACCATTTGACGATAGATCTCATTGATCAAGACAACTGGACGACTTTCGTCTTCTGTTCCGGGCTGAGCACCACCATGATGCTGGGAGCACACCGAGACAAACTCCCAAAACACGTGCCATTGAAAACACGTGCTATTTATTGATTTAATCGGAATAGAGACGAAAAACGCGTGCTTGGGGGCGTGATTTCGCAAAATGAGCTTCAGTTATAAACGACGAACTTTCTCCCAAAATAGACAAAAAACACCAGGTTTCTCGCTAGATATATCCCACATTCTTCTCAAAGTGTGTGAGTGTGGAGGGGAGGAGTTGAAGCTCCCCCAATTGAAAAGGAAACTATACCCCTGCATGTGCTTGTGTGCTATAAGTCGCCAAACGTATATACAACGTCAAGGTAGCCGTCAAGCAAAAGAGACGTCGTCAAAGGCATATCAAATAAGGGTGTTTTTTCTTGCACCCAATTACTTTAACCCAGCCTATACGTCCGTCCATTGCGAGTTGTTGGACACAACCACACAGAGTGAGTCAATCACGTTGACTCAGACTTTTGTTGTCAGCGCACGGCGGGCACGTCAGCCTAGCCTAGCATGCCTGGGCTTAATTACCACAAGGCTATGACATGCCATGGCAAGACCAGGGTTTGGGTTGTGGAAAGGCTTAAAATGAAACAGTTCTGTGCGCGCTCTGCAAGTTTCGGCGCCGCGCTTCAGTGGCACCTAGGGAGAGCGGGGAAGGGGATAAAGAAAGTGAAGCAAATAGACCAAATAAATTCAAACGAAATCACATAACCAAAATGACAGCTGCGCAGCAGCATAGGGAATAAAAGAGATGTTTTAAAAGGTAGTTTTGAGACACATAAGATGGCACAGGTGGCTCAAACGCTTCCAAATTTAGTCAAAACGTGCGAGAACTCTAGCACACCAGGTACGGGAGTGAAATTATAAATACGCCAAGTACGATAGTGCAAGTGCGATTCTTTCGGCGTGCAATCTCTTCGCTCCAAATTGCAAGTAACTTTGTACGATGAGCATTGGTGATAATGTCGTTGACATAGGTGGCGCTACTGGTAACAAGACCTGCTATATAGATGACGCTAGTGCTGTTCAGTGGTTTCTGCTGATTATTCCGTTTTTCTGGATGCTCACCTCTTGCCTGCCTAGGAGTTCTACCGGTTTGAATGCAAGCCGTGCTTGCTGGGCTTTAAATCTCTTAATATATGGCATGCAGGAATCTAGTCCTTAATTTTGTTCGGTCGCCGGGACATATTCTAGACCGAAACGCCTCACATACTAGTCGATGCGCCGCAGAAGGTATTGTCACTGTATTGTTCACTCACATGTGTACGCCCGATAGACTTGAACGCTGATTTTATAGCCTGTGATCTATTTGTTGGCATCAAATGAGTGTTTTACCGCTACTAAACATTGGGTACCTGTTCTGACAGGGCAGAGCGGGGGCATTCGCCCATGACATCGCTCTGGTGCAGATGTCAAGGGCGATACCCACGACCAACTTCGTTCGTCCCATCTGCCTGCCGCTGGACATCGGCCGGCTGCAGGGAGGGCAAAACGCCGCTGTTGGCCAGAGGACCTACATCGTCGGCTGGGGGCGGTCTGAGGAGTGTGAGCTAGCCACGCGGTAGTTCAGACTGTCTGCACGCATACCAGATGTGTGCACATTGCGCCAGACGCGTATGCACGTACACTAGACGCGTGTACTACTCCCATGATGGACGCTAGGATGCTTTTCCTTTTTGAGCGCAGTGTTTTGAAGTTGACTTGCAGTGTCTGACTGAAAAGGTATGGCAAGATTCAGGACTGTGGCATGTGGCGCTTGGTAATGGCTGTTTCACCATGCTGCACAGCGTTCATGTATTGCCAATGTGTGCTATTGCAGTGAGCTTTGTGTTAGTTTTGCGATCCAAGCTAATCCACTAGCCAATGATATTCCGAATGTACATTGTATATCCCACATTCCCTTTAGAAGTTGGTACGCACCTCGTCTGACTGCTCGACTTGTTTCCAGCTGTCGGGTCTTTCACGCCGGTGCTGCAGGAGGCTGCCATCAACGTAGTGCCGAAGAGCAGTTGCGAGAGACTTTTCCGCAGGTCGCTGAAATCGACGGGTCTGGGGAACCGAGTGTGCGCAGGCAACTCCGGCATTGACACGTGTCGCGGCGACTCTGGAGGCCCTCTGATGGTGCACGGTCAGTAGAGAGATGTCGTCTAAAGCGTCCGCTGAGGGGAGCCCTTCAGCGAGGTACAGGGCTCCCTGATGGGGTCAGTTCAATGGGGGTGGTCATCGGACTGAGTCAGCTCAGTGGAGAAAGACCGTAGAGGAACCCCGACGAAATTGGGTTTGTGGATGGAAATTTCCGCTCGTGCAGTCAATTCGGCGGGTGGATGGGGTCCTAATAGAGTCAAGCCAGTGAAGGGAGAAGTCCCTGATGAATGCACGCTACAAACGACCAACAGGCACCCAGCTCGCAATATGCTGCTCATCGACGATGTACCGTCCCGACAGTGCTGGCCCAACTGGAACGAATCTGGCCTTGTCGCCGCTAGTGCAAATAACGCTGAGCCCTCTGAGAAGCTCTCATCGCACAAAGCGAACGTTAGTCACCTAAACGCCACCCATTGCTTACCCGAGCTTCACCCATTGCTCACTCCAGCATTACCCATAACTCACCCCAGCGCCACCCATAGCTCACCCCAGCGCCACCCATTGCTGACCCAAGCGCCACCCATTGCTCACCCCAGCATCACCCATAGCTCACCCCAGCGCCACCCATTGTTTACCCGAGCTTCACCCATTGCTCACCCCAGCATTACCCATAGCTCACCCCAGCATCACCCATAGCTCACCCCAGCGCCACCCATTGCTGACCCAAGCGCCACCCATTGCTCATCCAAGCGAGCGTTACTCTCGCAAGCCCGCCACGCGCGGCTTGTGTTGAGTCACCGTCACGAAGTCAGTACATCGCCGATGAACAAGCTGCCGCAGAGTCTGTCCGCACCGGACAGGCTCTGCGACAGCTTGTTCATCGGCGATGTTCTGTCCGCACCGGGCAGGCGGCGCTCGCCTGGAACTGTAGAAGGTCCAGTATCAACTATGGAGGACCCATTCCGACCTGAATAGGTCCATTTTTATCTGAAGACGGACATTGTTGACCAGAGGGTCCATTCTGGCCAATATGGAGAACCCATTATGACCTTTAGAGGGTTTATTATTGACTGTGAAGGGCCCATGCTGGCTTGTAGAGGGCCAATTCCGACCTGAAGAGGGTCCATTCTGGGCTGTAAAGGGCTATTCTAGCGTATAGAAGACCTATTACCGACTGCGGAGGGTCCATTCTGACATGTACAGTAGATTCTTCAGGCTTGTATGGGGCCCATCATTGACTGCAGAGTTCCCATTCTGGCCTGAAGAGGAGCCATAATTGGCTGTTGTGTCGCGCACGTCACTGTGTTCGGCGACGAAAGAGAAAATGTGTCGCTACAGTTGAGGTCTCATTCTGACCTGCAAAGTGCCCATTTTGCTAGAACAGTGCCAATTATTGACAGTAGAGGCCCCATTCCGACCTTCAACGGTCCCGTTCTGACCTGTAAAGGGCCTATTATTGACTATGGAGGGCCCATTCTGGCTCGTAGAGGGCCAATTCTGACCCGTAGAGGGCCCATTCGGGCTTGCACGAGGCCCACTTTCCATCTAAGAGAGCCCATTTTGACATTTTGGAATGTGCCCCCGCACAACTAAAACATGGTTCCTGGACCCTGCGTTGACAGCCTGCTTGGGGAGCCCTACGAGACTCCCTGCCTTGACAAGCCTCGCTCGGCCACCGGCAGATGGCACCGGCAGGAAGTGGTACCTGGTCGGCGTGACGTCGTTCGGAACCAGGGACTGCGGCAGAAACCCGGCAGTGTACACGCGCGTCACCGACTACGTAGACTGGGTTCGGGATAGCTTGCGGGCCCGCCTCTGAGCCGGCCACTAGCCCTGCTGCTGGTGGCCAGCGCTACCTCCGCTGTTAGCTGGGAGCCGTCGCTGTTGGTATGCTGCCCCTCCCCCTCAGCTCCTGCTCTAAGTTATTTGTCACCGGTGTTCTGCGTCGTCCGTGGAGCAGCGTCGCTCGAGTCGATGACGGCAATGGGAGGGATGGTCAATGATATCCCTCCCACTCCCATATAACACAAGTGCCATTGGTCGAGGTGCACAGCGCTCGGGAATTCAGTTGGGCGTGGTGTTCTTCTGCCGACGCCGGTGGTTGTGCTCGATCAGATGTGAAATATAGTCCAGGGTACTTCAAAGATGTTTGACTCGGGTTATGACTTCGTAACAACGACCAATTAGTCGGGCTCGGAAGCCATATTTGAAATCCCGAGCTTATTACAGATTCAGAGGGCTTTCAAGCCAATCAAATGCACCAGACGTGCTGCATCTTCCGCTTACTTATCCGTTGATGCGCAGTAGTACGTGGGGTCGCCACTGTGTAGTGCGCTACCTGCCAACAGCTGTCGAGAAAACGGTGGTCGTTAATTGTAATTGCTGTAAAAATACGACATACGGCTGCAAGGTGTTCTGTACCGATGCATCACTCAAGATTTGACATAACACACTGAGTCATGGTCGAGCAAGCGATCCCGGCTCCTCGCAGGAGCGTAACAGCGCAGGAGTGTCACATGAACCTGCCCAGTGTCGCGCACATGCCGGTGATTTTGATTTGTATGGTAGCGGTCGGTATGGTCAGGTCGCCTGACCTGGCCTGCGGCGTTTCCAAGCTGACACGATGAAAGCGAATTGATGAAGATAAGCTGTTACCAGTGTTTTTACAGCAGTGAATATTAACACTTGCAAACAGGTAACATGCGATGGAAATGTTTTTTAGCAGGCACCACCTGCCGTCTTTCGCCAGCCATGATTGTTTGAGTGTTAGCACGCGCCCAGGTGGCCGGTTAAACACCCTTCGTTCGGGGGGGGGGGGGAGGAAGGGGGGGGGAGTCAATTTGATCCACTCCCGATATCTCAATCATTGAGAGAGCTAGAAACCCCAAATTTACAGAGTTTAGCTGTTCTCTATGTGAACTCACTTACACAAAAAATTAGGGTCCATAGGTCCTGATCTGGTCAAGGTCAGTTTTAACCTTCGTTTGCTCTCCGTACGCTAATCCAGGTTAATGAAATTTGTTGTAATCCATAGAACAAAAGTTTTTGCCAGAGAAATCGTCTCAGAGATGCATGGCTTCGTCTTTCACTCCATTGCCGCCTCAGAATGAACGATCGCCTAGAAATTGTCATTGTTGACAGCCACGGCCAGCATAGGTCAGCGATCTTACAAGGTATATCAATTTGCATTGCAAAAGACGCACTACTCAATTGTGTACAGCCATGAAAGGTTTAGCGAGGCTTCACCACACCGTTCGTAAATTATTCCATAAAATCCTTCGGGGAGGGGGAAAATTTACGGCCACCATTTGGACCAGTCTGAGCTGTCATCTGCAACCAAATCTATTTGAAACCGTTGCAATAGATCTTGAGCTGTATATATATATATATATATATATATATATATATATATATAACATGCAATTACTACAAGAGCAAGTTATATCTTTTACATGACTACATAACGAGCACCGCACAAAAGGGCGATTTTTTTTCTAATCAGAATTGTGCCAAAGTTGTAGCAAAAAGGTAACATTCAGTTCATTCTATGGTTGAGTTGGGTCATAATCGTTTAACGCCAAGTCAGTTCCACAGTCACTGTTAATACTTTTATTTTGCTCTTTTGGCCCATATGGGATGGCCTGGGGGGAGGGGGGGGGGGTTGGATATCTTGATTTGGTTACCTCAGATGAGCAGCACCTTTGGTTTGGTACTTGTTAATTTTAACCTACACGAGAATTCTCGGTGACATGGTGTTCCTTTGTGCATAATGTTGATTCTGGTGAACACATGTCCAAGCGAGTCGAAAAATGACATCAAAACAGACATGACGAAAACGTAAATATGTGTTATCAAAACAACCCAGTAAAAGGACAGGAGCTTAAAATCATTGTAGGTGGAAGCAAAAATGACCGTGCAAGTCGTATATGCCGTCATGGTGTCAGATTTTCGTTATCCGACACAATACGACAATCATTTTATTCCGAATTTGCGCATTGGTCACCTGCCAGGTAACAACAAATCTGCCGCACGTGTCTGGAGTGGACAGCATGTTACAGGAAAAGCTTGGAGGAGTGACTCCCGAGACGGTCGCGGGCTAACTTCCAGCTTGGGAATTAAGGGAGATATTTGCATCCTGCGACTGACTAATGAGACATCAATATGTCACGGCAAATACAGAGCTGCATGTTACATTAGTCAGGTAGTGTTTCGTTAACGGTATCAGTCCAGCGTCATGACGGTACCACCAGCTTATGCGCTTCAAAATAACGACCGAGGTGAGACTTGTGTCAATCACCCGTCCTATTTTTGGCGCGGCTTTTCACTAGCAGG